TGTCAAACTTTAAAACAGGTAAACCTCTTACCAAGTATTGTACCATGAACTTGTTAAGATTTTGAAAGTTCAAATGTGAAAGCCTTTGATGCCAAAGCCAGCTTATCTCTGATGTAGCTTTCGAAAGTAAGCATACTGATGGTTTCCCAACAATATGATTGATGTCAAGAGTAAACATGTCGCCTTTTCGTTTTGATTTGAGCAAAACTACCTTCTTCATTAAACACCACTTGATTGCCAGTGCCCACAACAAGTTGCAAAACACTTATCAAGTTATGTTGAAGACCTTCGACATATTCTACTCTGTTGACTGTAAAACTCCCATTGGTGATCTTATCGTAGCCTCGAACATGACATTTGTGATTATTCCCAAACTTCACAACTCCTGCATTCTCTAAAGTCCGATAATCAAGAAGATTCTCCTTTCGACCAGTCATGTGACGAGAACAACCACTATCTATATACCATTTGTCATCATATTGCTCGTCACACAAAACCTACAATTAATGAAAGAATTTAGGTCCCCAAGGCTGTTTGGGTCCTTGGTTATTAGTGTGAAAAAAATGTTGAAATGAAGAACCTATAATCCAACTACGAACTTTCGACTTGAGACTATCAACTAAGTCTACTTCATTAGTCGAAGGCACAGAAAAGTAATTATTCTTTCATTTAAAATCAACATTGATATGTTCCTTTTCCTTCGTAGCTTGTTTCTCAACAACCGGTTTCTTTGGCATAGCTTTCCATGTTTTAACTGAAACAATTGACTCTTGTGAAGATGAACTAGCTTTCGATGATTCATTCAAATATTTCTCATACACTTCTTTAATCATTTCTTGTGAGAATTTCAAATATTGAAATTTCTTTCCTTTTCCTTCCAACCAATGATTGATATTCTTCACATTCGTTTTTCCTTTAACAAATAAAGATTTGACAGGTTATTTTGATGGTGGATTTGGGAATGAAGTTGGAGTAGGTTTGAAAGATTTGAATTTTCCGACCTTATACATGTAACTTCTCAAAGTTTCGTGTTGGTTTTCGTGTTGATGTATGTGTATTAAAGTGATTTTGAAAATGATTTTGATAACCAACATTATTTCTTTGGAAAACATATTGTTATTGCATGGATTGTTTTAGATGAGAGACTTGATGAAACTTTGATAGAGTATTCGAATAAAAAAACTTTTCTTTGATAATTATTTGAAGAAAAGCTGTGATTGGATTGATTTTTATGAAAAGACTTGGTTTTCACATAATTTTCATGAAAAGATGTTTGAGCTTCAGAATTGGAAGTGGATTTTTGAGAAACAAATTCTTTGTTTTTGAAACATCCTCCTTTTTGAAAAAATACACTTTTTGTGATTTTTGAGAAAATGAAGATTTTGATTTGAAATCATGATCTGGCTTGTTCACTTGTTTCTTTTCAAAAGATTTCTGAACATATTTAATTTTTTGCTGTTCAGACGATTTGTTAAGCAAAACACTTGATTTCTTTGAAGTCTTAATGTTATTCCAAAACACTTTTGTTCGAGCTCGTCGTTTTGAAATATTATTATCTTTCGAAACTTTATCAACTTGATCATAAAATCTTGTGAATTGATTTTGACTTTTTGAGAAACAACTTCATCTTTCTTAGAAACATCTTTTTCTTTGTCAGTTTTTACAATCCAAACTTGTTTTGTGTTTCCAGTCTTTTCAGATTCTTTGTTAACACTTGTTAATTTAGCAAACCAGTTTCGACTTGGTTTTTGTCTTTGGAAGGCGTTCTAATTTTTGGTAAGATTATTTTACACTGTACTTTGATTCGAAAAGAACCCTTCATTGGACATGTTCTTGTTATCTTCTTCAACTAACTTGTTAAATTCAGGTTTGATTGTATCAGCATTTCCAGATGTGACGAACACTTGATTCGGAAAGATGACATCATCTGTGCATTTGAAATTGGGGTACAAAACTGTATTTGTTTCGAGATAATGAGCACCTTTCTCTTTCATCACTTTATCAAATTTGTTTGTGTCACCATACACTTGATCTTCAACTTTTCGAGGTATCATTGTTTCTTTCGAAACTTTAGGAACTTTTGTTTCTTGTGACACTTTGTCATCATCATCACTATCTGTTTGGCTATCTTCAACAGTTACATGGTCATAATCACAAGTTTTCGAAGTTGAAGGTCGGTCAATGTCAATTTTAACTTCAGAATCTTTACATTTTTCTTTACCTTTAACCTTGGAAGTGACATTAATGACAGACAACTGGGAACAATCAATTTCTTCCTTTTCCTCAACTTCACTGATTTCGCTGATATTATCAGAATTATATTCGAGATCAGCAAAATTAGATTGAGAGTCAGATTTCGAAGTCTCAGTTCTTTTCAAAATCTTTATTTGTTCATTTTTGGTTAAAGTTTCATTCACAATGTTAACCAACTCATTCTCATCTAAATATTCATCTATTTTCATAACTCCATAAGAAAACCTATTATTTGGAATTTTATCAAATTTAGCTATGGTCTTTTCACAGTTATAGGATATGTTATCTATCTTTTCTCTTTCAAAAGATAATAATGGTAACAACTTCCTATGTTGTTCTTTCCTTATATCAGAAAAATGATGCAAAGTAGTCAATTTAGCATATAGTCGTTTAGTAGAATTACAATAGATGTTTCTTTGAGCTAACAACAATTTGACATCACTATTTAAAGAATCTCTATCACACATCAAATTTGTAATATGCATCTCTAGATATTCGACTTTTATTTTCTTTGAATCTAACTGCTACTGAACCTCTAGTAACTGAGTACTAGATTTCTTAGCTTCGTTACTAGCAGAAATAACAAATGTATCGAAATAAGCAACAGTATCATCAAAAGCACTTAATTTAGAATCATAAACATTTAAAGGAATATTGAAAGATTGAAGAATAGAATGTACCTTCGTTGTCATTGGTGATTTGTCTCCACTTTTGTTCATGAAACAAATGACCAGTCACCTCTTCTTCATCATTTTCCTCGAACTTCGCATACATCGCCCCATGCGTAGGATTACGCATCTCTTCGTCATCAGAACTGGACGACCAAATTTGATAATATCCTTCTTCTTCATCTTCTCATTTTTTCACCAGAGACATTCCTGTTGCTTTTGCCCTCACTTCCTCCAGACGTTTGACATAGTATGCTTCATCTTTTATCTTGTTTTTCTTTTCTTCTTTCTTCCTTAGCATACAGTCACTAGCCATGTGATTCGCACCATGATAGTAGTGACAATCGATTCCAGAGTCTCCTTTGAGTTTCTTCTCAACTTTCATCTCTTCAACTTTCACATCCGTCTTCTCACTCTTCTTCTTCTCTTCTCCTCCAACTTTTTTCATGAAGTTTCCTTTTCCCTCACTAGGTTTCGACTTTGAACTAAAAGGTTTCTTGAGAAACTTCTTCACTCTATTATTCGAGTAAAATGCAAAAGCTTCATCATCAGAGTATACCAAAAATCCTTCATTATCAGAAGCTTCCTTCTCAACTGACTCCTTCTCATTAACTTTCAAAATCAAGGCTAGTGGTTCTCCAAGACTCATTTTCGATTCCTCAGCAATTTCATTTACTTCACCTTCATGAGTTTTTAGCAAATTGTACAAATCATTTAGAGTTGAAGTATAGAAACTCTGTTGAGTTTTCACCATCAGGGTCACATTCCTCCATTCCTTTCGTAATCCCATGATGAAAGTAAGATTCAATTCCATGGTTGATCTTGTAATTCCATAGCGGTTGCACTTCCAGATGAGTTCGTTCAACCGATTATAGTAACCTTCAATGGACTCACCATCCTTTTGTCTGAACTCTTTCAACTCAATCAAACAGTGTTTCACAGAATTAATCTTCGTCTTTTCACTTCCTTGAAAATTCTCTTTGAGAGTGTTCCAGATTTCCATAGCAGATTTACAACTCCTGACATAGTTGTAAACAATTAGAGGTAATGCACCACATAACTCCCTCATACGTCTTTTCTCATTCTTCAACAGTTTTTCACTCTGATCATTAACAACTTGAGTTGTCGCAGATGAACCAATGTTTTGAACATTCCTTGGTGGTAGATTGTTTCCTTCAATGCAATCCCAAAGCTCTTCATCTATTCCATTTAAGTCGTCTTGCGTGCGATCAGCCCATTGATCATAGTAATCAGGGATGAGCATAGGAATCTTCGTTGAAGATCCTAGCATATGAGAAAATGATGTCATGGTGTTCATGTTGAAGTTTTCCATGAATGTACGGATGTGATTTTCAGAAAAAAAAACTTCAATAATTTTGAAAACAATTGGATGAAACGATCAGAATTTTCAAAAAGAATACTCGATCAAACAACTAAGTTGCATGATCGAATCACAACTATAAATCTAAGCTGATTTTGAATAACAAAAAGATGCGGAAGTTCTGAATCCAAAAAGTGACTCAAAATCCTTTTGATACAGAATGGAAATCAGATCACAGAAGAATGATTCCTGCTCTGATACCAATTGTAGAAGATACTAGATCGAGTAAAGAAAATGAAATCTGAATTGTAATCAATTAAGAACACCGAGAGTAAATAAGATATGGTTTCAGCACTATTATGCTTTCGAATACAAAGAGTATCTAGACAGAGTACAATCAAAAAGTTCTTTACTAACTCTAAGTACCAACTCTTATTTATAGGAGAACAGAAAGCATACAAAAAATACAAAGGACTAAGCATTACAATTTCGAAACTAAAATGCCTTTGTAAATAACATTACCCAAAATCACGAACATTACAAAGTTTCGACACCTTACAACTAATTTTGACCTCTACAATACCCACCGCGCAATCGTACAACGGTCTTGGAGGAGGATACCAATGGAAACAGCTGTGACGGCGGCGTTGGCGACGGCTAGGTAGAAAGGACGGAGGAAGCGTGTCCGAGAGTGGCAGCACACAGCCACGACGTCGTCTTCAGCTGCCTTGTCCTCGTCAGCAGCACCCACGGCGGCAATGGCTGGTGGTTTACGGTCTCAACAGTGGGGGTGGCGGCTCCGGTCGTCTACTTCCGACCTCCCTAACGGACGCAACACCCACTCTAAGCCACTCTGTCGGCTGAGGAAGATACGAAAGTTCACGGTGGCAGCTGTGGAGGGGACGGCGGTGGAGAGACAAGGTTGGAAAGGTGGCGATGCTGGTGGTGGAGGTATAAGGGTGGTGCGGCACCGGAAGTTGAAGAGGTAAAGATGGCAGCTGATGCATTGTCTTTCAGGTTAGGGTTATGAGATGGGTTATATACCCGGCACCCTTAGAACTTTATCCCATAATGACAGAAATGGTCCCTCCCCATAAGAATCTTTCCAAATGAAGCCCATAATTTACCATTTAAACACTGCCTTCTGGAATCCCTTATAAATCTAGTCCGGAATTTTACCAATCAGCCCCGCCCTCTACAAATTATTTTCAACTGAAGTCCTTATGTTACCAAATGGCCCCTCCTCTACAAAACCTTTTTGACTTCGGTCCAGAATTTACTCTTTTCCCCTGCTTCAATAAATCCTTTCATATTAAGTCCAAACAATACCAAACACCCCCTCTCTTCTAAAAATCCTTACCAAATAAATCTCGAATTTACACTTTAACCCCCGAATAATCCAAATTGTAACATTTGGCTCCCCAAAACCAACACCCCACTAAATAATATGGATTTTCGGGCTACTATTCACATTAATTTTTTCTATTTATTTATTTAATAAATGGGGAGTTACAGTATCTATCTCAATTAGACACATGTGAAATGATTAACATGACTAAATATTTGATTTTGCAAATTTCCCATGAACCCTAATTGTGAATTTTTGTGAATTGCTAGGGTTTAGATGTATGATATTGATTAAAGTAAAAATAAGTATAATAAGAGTGTTGTTACATGATTACTATGTTTAAATTCATGAATTTGAAAGTTGAATGCTATAAAATTGAATTATGAAAAGTGATAAATTGGATGTTTTGAGCATATAGCTTCATGAATTTGTGTTCAATAACAGTTAGTTGTTGAAATTAACATGAATAAGTATGTTGGAATAACGGAATAGGAATCTTGAGTTGAATTGAGCTGTTTTTTTTGTAAATAAAAGTGATATATCTAAATGATATAAATGTATATGAATAGTTTTTATTCTTGTAACAACTTTGGTTATTAAATCGGCAGATAAGTGCTCGGGTGTTAGGACATCAAATAACCAATAAGTGATAAGGTGAGTAAAACTTATTTTACTTATGAACTTGAATTCATGTTATTAACTTATTATATTATTATGTATGTGTGTGTATGTCTTATCTTGTTGGACCTGTAAGAACTAAAAGTCAAATCGTTGCTGAATTGGACCATGCCACCACAACCCATGCTGTCGGAACAAAAGGGAGGCCTTCTAATTATATGATCAAAGTTCAAGGAACTTTTGGAATTCCTGAAGAACTACAAACAAAATCAAGTTCGCATCAAGGCCACTTAAGTGTTCCATTGAAACCGATCATGATGAAACTAGGTTCTACGGAGGGTCGGGTTCTGGTACCATCCTTCATGAGTTAGAAAGTCACATATGTGGCGAGTGGACAGATACATGAGATTAGAGAGATCCACATTTCGGAACGAGTAAGGGTAAGCTATGTGATTCTAAAAAGAGTCCTATCTCCATTTACTCAGACATTGTTCTCAAAGTAAAGGGGTTTCTACCGAAGACAGTTGAATTGATAGAACAAAAATAAGAAGCTCAAATGGCTATCAAGTTTTTTCAAGGAGATGATCCATCAAGTGTCCAGATTGATGCTGAAGGGCTTGCCAAAAAGAAGTAGTTGGATAAACTTCAAGGTGATGAATTGACGATAGCACTACAAAAGACAAAGATTGTCTATGCTGCTATAAAGAATAACATGACCAATTAAAGAAAATGATTTTTTTTCTTAATATATCCTTGTGAAAAAAAAGAGGTTACTCAAAAGAAGTTAGAGGAAAACAATGGAAAGAGAATTAGAGGAGAAAACTATGGCTGATAAAATAGCTAATGTTATGGAAGCAGATCACTTGCGGATTGATGAAATTGGAAAGCAGTGTTGGGTTGCCGAACATGAGGTTCTGGAAAAGAAAGAAAAGGAGGATGAGGATAGAAGACATACTAAATTTAAGGCTAAACGTGTTGCAGATGAAGTGTGTAACACCCCGATTCTCAGGTATTGATTTATGGTTATAATTTTCATAATTTCTAGGTCTACTCGCCGAGTTGGATGCCCTGACTCGTTAAGTAGTAGCGGTTTGGGCCACGTGTTTAATTGACCTACTCTCCGAGTCCAAGATAGGACTCGACGAGTAGGAGCTGGAGCATGAAACCCTAATTTTCGGGGTTTTACACCCTATTTAAGGCATCATTAGCCTCATTTGGCCTCCTTACAGTCCCTTGAGAGTCCATCAAACCCTAATACGTGTGTGTGTGTGCTCTATTTATGTGTTTTAATATTTGGAAGTGGATTCTTGGTGAGAAGTGCTTAGAGAACAAGTGACTAGAAGCAAGGAACGTGTGGGGATCAGAAATCTACCTTAGTTAGCATCATTAGAAGGTATCAAGTCGTTACCTTGACCTTATTTCCTTCTAGATCTCATTTGGGCAAAGATTAGGGCTTTTCTAGCGTATTAGGAAGCTTTTCTTGTGCATGAGCTAAGATCTGAAGTTGCAACTTCAGATCTGAACTCTCCTGGGTCTCTAAGTCCATAAAGCTTCCAGCTTTTGCAAGTATGAACCTCTCCTTAGGTGTAAAACTCCATTACAAGCTTGGATTTGTTATAAAGAGTCTTTAGAGCCTTGCATACACGTAAACTTTGCAACTTTGCGTGATAAACATGCCTTGGGAAACTGGATCTGCAATATGGAACCTTAAAATGGCTTAAAAAGCATGTGAATGGGTGAAGGAATGAAGGGACTCGGTGAGTTGCATGTCCAACTCGGCGAGTTGCAACTCTCCGAGTCTGTAACAAATCGTTATTTCAAACCTATGTAATAGTATAGGTCAATGTGTATTTCTTTTTATAATAATAAAGAGAAATTTTAGCATAATGTGCATATTTACATAATTGACCCTCAAAAATAAATTATTTAACAATCTCGATTGGGATGAACCAAGTGATAGAGATTGTAACAAGGTTTCCAAAAACATAAAGAACACTAAAATCCGAGTTATAACGAAGAAGTTATGACCAATCGAAAATCCGCGACAAAACCGACAAAACACTGTTCAGTGTAAAAACTGAATTTTCAATAAAAAGGCTTTTTAGCCTTAACAATCTAAATGAAAGTTGTAGTTTATGTTAAACCGAGAACTTTCATAAAAAGATCGGGAAAATCTGTCTTCGTATGAGGAAGTTGTGATTTTTCTAAGTTTCAGTATAGCAGTGTACAACTAAAAACTCGAAATAAAGATCGAGCGATTTTTAGTCGACACAACCTAAACGAGAATTGAAGGTCTCGTTGGTAGTAGTACAACAGTAAAAAGACAGACAAAAACGGACGTCGGATGAAGAAGTTATGAATTTTTAACGGATTCCTGTCCCGGTCTGTTTAAAATAATAATATTAAAAATCAGTCAAAATTAGCCAACGAAGTCTAAACGAAAGTCGTAGAGTATGATTTTACCTACGTGTGCATATAAAGAATGCCAAAAATGGAGCTCTTATGCGAAAGTTATGATTTTCGCAAGTTTTGACACAAAAATAAAGAAAAATAGGAAAAACCGGGCAATTTTGCATGCCACGTCACCCTCGCACGTGGCGGCTGCTGATTGGACCGAAGCCTTGCGTGGCACCTCCTGATTCGACCAACTCCGCGGTCCAGTCATCCTCGGACAGCCTCGCATGAGACACCCCGGAGATACCCCTCGGATGCCCCTTCGCACGTGTCTTCTTCCCATTGGACCGAGGTTTGGTCCAATCCGAGCCGCCGAGCTTGCGAGCCTGCTGTCTGAAGTGTGCCATCCCTTCGCCACCTGTTCGACGCGTGTCAGCCTCGCATAGCCTCGGATCCGAGGCTTCGGCCTATATAAGGCATGCGAAGGTTCCAGATTTTTTACACTTTTCACCCCAAATTTCATTCTCTTTCATATTTTCCACTTCCACAAACTCATATACAACGCCTAAAGCCCCGGTATCAAGTCTCGAACCCTAAGCAAGCCTCGAAGCCCCGAGATTCCCGATAAGTAACCTCTCTCCTGTCGAAACTCTGCCCGATTTGAGCCGGTTTCTCGACAAATAAACTCCTTTTCGTGAAACAAAACTCTGTCCGATTCACCACCTATCAAGTGAGTACATACCCCGTATTTTCGTAATTTCTACTGTTTTAAGGGGGGGAATACAAGCATAACACAAGAACTTTGTGTTATAAAATCATGATTTCAAATCATGATAAAACAACATTAAATCATTAAAAATACTCAAAACATTAAACTCTTTTATCATCTTATATTTTCCCCAAAATTCATGTTTGTATATATATATATATATATATATATATATATATATATATATATATATATATATATATATATATAACTAAGATTTAAAAGACTTAGGACTGATAACTCATTCCGGGTCCTTTTCCTTGTTTAGATATGGGCTTATAGTACCGGTTATTTATCCGAGTGTCGTTTAAATTTTACTTATGTATAAAATAGTATATGTATATAAATATAATAGTAATTGATACCATTTTATTCAAATATGTCGTTACCATTTTATTCAAATATGTCGTTACCATTTTATTCAAATATGTCGTTACCATTTTATTCAAGAAGCTAGTAATTGATATCATTTTATTCAAATATGTCGTTACCATCATTTCGGTAATAACTAAGAAGATGATTGTTATTCCGACCCGAGTGGTCATATCGAATTGAGTCCGACTACGATGAGTATGTTACGTGGTTCAGAGAACCAAGTTTAATGTAGCATCTGACTTAAGCCGGAAGATTGAAATAAAAGATAATCAAAGCGGTCGGTAGAGGTATCACGATAGTTGCTTGTAGCTAGAAAGGCTACCCTTAAAGATGAGATTAGAACATGAAGTAAAGTATAGTCTGTTCTGGAAGACTCTAAGAGACCTGAGTCTAAGCATTGCAACATACGATGATAGGTCATTAGAATATGACACATCGTTCCATTGTAGTAATAAAAGAACTTATCTTAAGTTCGTATCCAGTAAGGATTGAGATTCTGACTTGAAGGTTATAATTTGGAGTCTAACGTGAGATAGGGAGCTAGTGGAAGATCAAGCAACGCCTACAGTCAAGGAGTCCAAGAGTTAGATACTTATTCGAAGAAACAAGGAAGTTACGATTATTACCTAGGATGAAGAGATACAATATGGAATCATTATACTGCCCTGTTTCGTTGATGATTCCGGGACGTAATCATCCTAAGGGGGAGATAATTGTAACGCCTGTAGATCCGGGCTAGTCAATTTAGAGACAATAGGGGTCGAAAACAACTTTTCGACAAAAGATTATTTAGAATAAACAATCTTGACCAAGTTTTAGAATATGTCTTAAGGGTTCCGTACATATAAAGAACGCCGAAATCCGAGTTATAACAAAGAAGTTATGGTCCGTCGAAGTTTTACGGCAAAACCGGCACGACACCGGGAGACGTAAATAGTGAATTTACGATGGAGGACTTTTTAGCCTTATAAATATAAACAAAAGTTTTAGTATACGTTAAACCAAGAATATACAGAAAAAGAACGCCTAAATCTGACTTCGTATGAGTAAGTTATGAATTTTCTAAGATTTGGCTAAGCAGTGCACAGCCCGAAACTCCAATTTTAGATCGAGCGGTTTTTGGCCTACGCGACCTAAATGAGAATTGAAGATCTCATTAATAGGAACTCAACGGTAAAAATACAGACGAAAATAGAGTCCGTATGTAGAAGTTATGAATTTTACGCGGACATTTAACAGTATAATCTCCTCGTACTGTTAAATTTAAGATCGGTCGAGAATTAGCCGACGGAGTCAAAATGAAAGTTGTAGATCTTATTTTTACCTACGCGTGGATTTAAATAACGTCAAAAACGGAGGTCGTATGTGAAAGTTACGGATTTTAGAAGTCAGAAGTGTGTTGTGCGAAAATGGGTGATGTGGCACAATCTTGGCCATTGCTTTCTCCCCAAGTCTTGCCACTAGATGGTGACATGTGGCACCAAGTTCAGCCATTTTTCACCCTATAAATAGAACCTCTCCCACCCTCATTTTCTTCACACCTTTCCCATTCTTTCTTCTCTTTACTCTCTCTCTAAAACCTCTCTCTAGCCCTGAAACCCCCGAAAAGCCTAGGGAACCTCCCTAGCACGAGGCGGAAGCCGCGAAGTGCTCGACGACTCTGAGAAGAAGAGATTTTCGGCTCAGGAATGCTGCTCCAAGCAAAGCCCGGTTTTCTATAAAACCTGTTGTAAGTGAGCTACGCCTACGTTATTTTTAATATAGCTTTTATTTAATTATAGTAACGTTATTAGGAACTTATAATAAGTACTTGGGCTATTATTATGGGTTATATAAGTATTGTTTAACGCTTATATAATAGTAATAATAGGTAGACTATTAATTAGTGTCGGCGAATAATAGACTAAACTATAGTGGTAATAATAGTAGGTTTCGTCGAAGAAAATTATTTTTAAGAAGCGAAGCGTTGTCTGAGTTCGGAATCACCGCCTTTTCAAGTGAGTGCATGGTCCCTTTCATCTTACACATAGATATGAAGTATTTTATATAAACTACGTGCTATGTGTGCATATTATCTGTATAATTGCTATCTATGCTGGATGAACGATTTTATACAAGTTTTATATGATTTAAACTGTATACTTATTTATATCTACATAATATGTTGGGTAAAACATGGGTAGATGAAATATGAGTTGAATGATGAGTTGAGAGGTGATATAGACCATGAGGTAAGGGTGAGAGGCGGACGATGTGAGAAGCCTTGTTCCCAAATGATGGCCCCGTCATCTAGCAGAGTATGGATGACAACCACGGACTATTCTAGACAGTCCAGTGGTACACTATCAGGCTCGCAACCTGTAGGTGTTGTGAACGATGTGTTCACCGGTGTACTCTAAAAACCCATTGACATGTATTGCGAGTGGATTCTCGGAAACGATACTGTCGATAAACGAGATAACCCTTGCAGCTGCGCCT